AAGTGGTTGTATACAGCTGAGAGTTTAGATATTTCTGAACTGGTTTGGTGCCATGCAAGACATCCATATGAAAGTCTCATTCAAAGAGGGATGATCTTTGCCAATGCCCGTAGGTTTCATTTGCTCAAAGCCTTTTTCAACATTGGTCTTAGGAAGCGGTTGTACACAGCTGAGAGTTTAGATATTTCTGAACTGGTTTGGTGCCATGCATGACATCCATATGAAAGTCTCATTCAAAGATCTTAGGGATGATCTTTTTGCCCATGGCCATTAGGTTTCATTCATTTGCAAAGCCTTTTTCAACATTGATCTTAGGAAGTGGTTGTATACAGCTGAGAGTTTAGATATTTGGTGCCATGAACTCCATATAGTTTGGGGATGCTTTGCATGACATCCATATGAAGTGGTTGTAAGTCTCATTCAAAGAGGGATGATCTTTGCCAAGGTTTCATTCGTAGGTTTCATTTGCTCAAAGCCTTTTCAACATTGATCTTAGGAAGTGGTTTCATTCACTCAAAGCCTTTTTCATCAGCTGAGAGCTTTTAGATATTTCTGAACTGGTTTGGTGCCATGCATGACATCCATATGAAAGTCTCATTCAAAGAGGGATGATCTTTGCCAAGGCCCGTAGGTTTCATTTGCTCAAAGCCTTTTTTCAACATTGATCTTAGGAAGTGGTTGTATACAGCTGAGAGTTTAGATATTTCTGAACTGGTTTGGCACCATGCATGACATCCATATGAAAGTCTCATTCAAAGAGGGATGATCTTTGCCAAGGCCCGTAGGTTTCATTTGCTCAAAGCCTTTTTCAACATTGGTCTTAGGAAGTGGTTGTACACAGCTGAGAGTTTAGATATTTCTGAACTGGTTTGGTGCCCTGCATGACATCCATATGAAAGTCTCATTCAAAGAGGGATGATCTTTGCCAAGGCCCGTAGGTTTCATTCACTCAAAGCCTTTTTCAACATTGATCTTAGGAAGTGGTTGTATACAGCTGAGAGTTTAGATATTTCTGAACTGGTTTGGTGCCATGCATGACATCCATATGAAAGTCTCATTCAAAGAGGGATGATCTTTGCCAAGGCCCGTAGGTTTCATTTGCTCAAAGCCTTTTTCAACATTGATCTTAGGAAGTGGTTGTATACAGCTGAGAGTTTAGATATTTCTGAACTGGTTTGGTGCCATGCATGACATCCATATGAAAGTCTCATTCAAAGAGGGATGATCTTTGCCAAGGCCCGTAGGTTTCATTTGCTCAAAGCCTTTTTCAACATTGGTCTTAGGAAGTGGTTGTACACAGCTGAGAGTTTAGATATTTCTGAACTGGTTTGGTGCCATGCATGACATCCATATGAAAGTCTCATTCAAAGAGGGATGATCTTTGCCAAGGCCCTCAGGTTTCATTTGCTCAAAGCCTTTTTTCAACATTGATCTTAGGAAGCAGTTGTATAGGGCTGAGAGTTTACATATTTCTGAACAGGTTCGGTGTTATAGGTAGAAGTTTTAGTATGCGCATGTTTTGTTTTAGTGAATTAAGTTGATAATGTTAATATAGCCTTTTCCTTATAAGGAAACATTTCTTATTTATTGACCTAGTTGCCAGTATTGCTTTGGGTTGAAATTTATGAAATGTTTCTCTTGAAACACTTTTTAGAAAAATAGTTTTCTCAAGTAGAGTAACTTTTATCGCTCTTTCCTGTATTGATGGCGATTTTTCTCATTGGAACAAATTATTAATCCATAAATAAATGAGAATCAGAGAGTGTGCCATAAGCAGACGTATTCCGTGCATATTCCTAAATTAAACTGGATTTCAAGTTCGCGGGCATCACGAGTGGCGCTGACAACGACGCCAAACGGTAGATATTGGAACTAACGTGAAAAACACCAATAATAAGCTCTTAAAGAAGACGACACCACAGAGTCACAGATGTTTTCATATTTCGTTCTCTAGGATTTATGAGGATTATATTAACATTTACTGTAAATATACGTAGTTTCATATAATTTTATATATGTTTATTTCTTATTTATTCTACAGCAACTATTTTATTTGCGTTTAATGCTGTTCTAGTGCTATTAACTTTTCAATATTTGTGGCGGGCAAGCATAAAGTCGAATAAAATTACTTGAATAAAATTACTTAAACTGATATATATTTTTTGACAAACGACGTATAATCGAGCACGACTTAACTCCAAACTTCGTAACCCGAGGTATACCTGTACAAACAAAAAAAAATACAACATTAAACGCTAATTAACTTTAAGACTTCTAATTACGGAAAAAGCGTTCGTATGATTTAACGCACCAGTTAAGTTCTATGTGTGATACACGCTTAAGCGACCATGACAGGCAGAAGATTTTCCCGCTCTAGGCAACCGTTTCTTTCTACGGTAGACTAGTTGCCAACCAAGGCTATAAAACTCAGTCTGTTCTGATATTCAACTCATAGCTGAGTGGGTGAGGCGAAGAGAAGAGATGCATTCATACAAGGGCACTTGTACGTAAGTGAAATTTAACGAACTCGACTGGAATTCGAACTCGGCTCTCCGGTTATCTCATTCAGAGACGATATCGATTATATCACAACGCACTTAGCAGATACTGACTCCAAAATAGCTGATGCTTCTGCTGTGTATTTAGAGATCCTTGATAAAATCCAAAGAAGAATCTGCAATATTATTGGTTCTGACCTGGCATCTCGGCTTCAGTCACTTTCCCACCGTCGTAACGTATCTTCCCTTTACCATTTCTGTAAATATTTTCATGGTATAAGTCTACCACTGTTACATTTGGTTTGGTTCTTCTGCTATATATTTAGAAATTGTTGGTAAAATCCAAAGAAGAATCTGCAATGTTATTACTCATGACCTGTCATCTCGGCTTAAGTCACTTTTCCCACCACCTTAACGTATCACTATTTCTATAAATATTGTCTTGGTATAAGTCTACCACTGTCACATCTGGTTTTGTTATTCGGCTATGTATTTAGAAATTGTTGATAAAATCCAAAGAAGAATCTGCAATGTTATTGGTGCTGACTTGTCATCTCGGCTTCAATCACTTTTCCCACCACCTTAACGTATCACCATTTCTGTAAATATTTTCATGGGATATTTCCACCACTGTCACATCTGGTTTGGTTCTTCTGCTCTATATATAGAGATCCTTGAAAAAATCCAAAGAAGAATCTGCAATGTTATTGGTCCTAATCTGGCATCTCGACCTCAGCCCCTTTCCCACAGCCGTAATGTAGCTTCCCTGGGCCTTTTCTATGAATAATCTCATTGTAATTGTCCTGGCGAACATTCGTCTATGATAGCGAGACTTTATGAATTTCAGCGTAATACAGGAATGACGACAAGGTCTCATCAGTTTACAAATGAAAGGCTAGATGTTACCGTAAGTTCTATGGTAACAGTTTCTTTTACTCCACTTCTCGCTTGTGGAACTCTCTTCAGGTTTTTTGCTTCCCAGACAGCTTTGGTCTTGAAAAATGTAAATGTAATATCAATCGTTATCTTTTGTCTTCTTCATTCCTGGTCTTTTTAGTTCTGGGTTGACGATAAACTACATCCGGCAGCAAGGCCTCTAGTCATGGGGATCGGAGATTTTAAAGAGTGTGGAAACACTTGTTAATTGCTTTTGTTCCCAGATCCTGACTTAAAATGCCAGCAATACATTTTTATATTCAAAATTTAACAATACCTATTTATAGTAAAATTAGAAACAATGCATATTTATAGTAAAATTAACAACTACTGTAATTCCCCATGTATAATAAGCCTTCATTCATAATACGCCCCTCTAAAATTGTGTTGAATGTCTGGGAAAATGCTTCTAATCACGCATAAGACGCACCCCTTGTTTAGTAATCCTATAAATTGTACCTTTACAATTTCAGATTCAACATGGAGGCCAACATCAAGTGCCTTGAGGATTTAGTGGCTGCTGGAAAACCTCTGTCTACCAACAGGACTCTACACCATGCCACACAAGTAGGAGAACACTCATGGCTGTCAGACAATTTCTGCGACCACACCACCCCTTACATCTGGCCAGCTAACTCCCCAAACTGCAACGCCCTTGATTATTAAGTGTGAGACAGTTGAGCGAGAGACCAACAAAACTCCTTGTAACACCAAAGATGAACTGAAGGCAACGATTATGGCAGCATTCACCAATTTAAACAAGGAGACCGTCCAGAAGAGATGCAGGTGATTCCGAAGTCGTCTGGAGGCCGTGGTTGAAGCCAATGACGATTTTATTGAATAGATTTATTCTTTAGTACTTCAAGATATTTTTTGTGTAATTTTGGTAAATACATCCGTTAAAATGAGATGACAGCGTTATTTTTTCATTTTGGCGCCATGTAGAGGACAATTTATCCATCGCACCCTGTATATCTGTTAAAATGAGATGTCAGTGTTATTTTCATTTTTGCGTCATTTAGACGACAATTTATCCATCGCATTCTCTGTAGTCTATCTGAAGAGAGATAATCGAAAATGTTGGACTTGCGACAATTGTGTTTAACACCTCCAACCTAAGCCAAGAGTGTTATAGTACAAAGGTGTTGATTGGATGACATAAACTAGTTACTACCTTTCTAAAATGTACTGTGACAGTTCTCGGTTAAAGAATTCTTCGTTTTTCTTCACTTGACGTCATCAAGTAAAGAGGTAGAAATAAAGTTAATAATGACGGACAGTTTTTACGCCATCTTAGAACGAAAAAAAGTACATGATTTCCGATATTTGACTCGAGTCTTTCTTCTTTAGCTAAAAATAAAACCCACTGGTGTCATTTCAAGTAAATGAGGACGTCGGACGAGGAAGATTCTTTGTTTTGGGGGGGTTTTTTTGGGGGGGGGTCTTTACTGTCTAATCAACCTGGCTGGTTCCGGCCATATTGGAAATGTTGTAGAGCTCAAAAAGATTTAAATATATGTCTTTTCAACTTAATAACTCAGCCGACTTACTCTCTCTTTCACGGTTATGCGTCTCTCTGTATATCACTTATGTGTCACTCTTTCTATATATCTCTCATTTATGTGCCCCCTCTCTCTCGCCCTCTGTCTCTCTCTTTCTTTCTCACTTGTGTCTCCTTTTGCTATCTTTCACTTTATCTTATGTGACCTCTCTATATCACCCTCTTTCTTATGTCTCACTCTCTCTATATATCCCCCAGGTGTCACTCTCTATATATCTCTCTCATGCCCTCCTTCTCTCTCACTCTTTCTCTTGTGTCCTTTCGCTATCTGTCACACTATCTTATGTGTCCTCTCTATATATCTCTCTCTTATGTCTCACTCTCTCTCTATATCTATCTTATGTGTCACTCTCTCTATATTTCACTCTCTCTCTTTTATGTCTCACTCTCTCTATATATCAATCTTGTGTTTCACTCTCTCTATAGTCCACTCCCTCTCTTATGTCTCACTCTCTCTATATATCAATCTTATGTGTCACTCTCTCTATATTTCACTCTCTCTCTTATGTCTCACTCTCTCTATATATCTATCTTATCTGTCACTCTCTCTATATTTCACTCCCTCTCTTATGTCTCACTCTCTCTATATATCTATCTTATGTGTCACTCTCTCTATATTTCACTCTCTCTCTCTTATGTCTCACTCTCTATATATCTATCTTATGTTTCACTCTCTATATATTTTACTCTCTCTCTCTTATGTCTCACTCTCTATATATATCTCTTATGTGTCACTCTCTCTATATTTCACTCTTACTCTTATGTCCCACTCTCTATATATCTATCTTATGTGTCACTCTCTCTATATTTCACTCTCTCTCTTTTATGTCTCACTCTCTCTATATATCAATCTTGTGTTTCACTCTCTCTATAGTCCACTCCCTCTCTTATGTCTCACTCTCTCTATATATCTATCTTATGTGTCACTCTCTCTATATTTCACTCTCTCTTTTTTGTCTCCTCTCTCTATATATCAATCTTGTGTTTCACTCTCTCTATAGTCCACTCCCTCTCTTATGTCTCACTCTCTCTATATATCTATCTTATGTGTCACTCTCTCTATATTTCACTCTCTCTCTTTCTCTGATGAGCTCCTTATCTGTCTCTTTCTTATGTGTCCCTTCTCATTTCTCTCTCTCTCTCTCTCTCTCTCTCTGATGTGTTCTTTTTTTCTATCTCTTTCCTTTGTGTCTCTTCGCTTTCCTATTCTCTATCTCTCTCTCTCTTTCTTTCTCTTTTATGTACACTTTCTCTATCTCTTTCATATATGTCCTTACGCATTCTTTCCCTTCCTCCCTCTCCCTCTCTCTCTCTCATGTATCCCTTCTCTATCTCTTTCTTATATGTCCTTTCGCATTCTTCCTCTCCCTCTCTCTCTCTCTCTCTCTCTCTCTCATGTGCCCTTCTCTGTCTCTTTCTTATGTGTCTTTTCGTATTCTTTCTCTCTCTCTTATGTGTTCTTTTTTCTATCTCTCTCTCTCTTATCTACACCTTCCTTTTCTCTTTCTTTTGTGTCTCTTCACATTCCTTCTCTCTCCCTTATGTGCTCCTTCTCTCTCTTATGTGTCCATTCGCTTTCTCTCTCTTTTATGTATCCCTTCACTATCTCTTTCCTATATGTCCCTTCGCATTCTTTCTCTCCCCCTCTCTTATGTGCCCTTCTGTTTCTCTTCTTTTATCTCTCTCTCTCTCTCTCTCTCTCTCTCATGGGTCCCTTCTCTATCTCCTTCACCCTCGTTTTCTTGGCGGCTTCCTTGCCCCTATGCGGTCATGTGAAAGCAAACGCGTAGAATTTGCAGGTAAACACATGTATGTATCCACCCCAGCCAATAATTAACGCTACCACCCAAGAAATTCAACTTTATGTAGCAACAAACAATATAATTAAAGAGTCTATAAATGATTCCCAAAATATAAGAACATGTTTTTAATAATGTGTAACTCTAGCACAATTTACAATAAACACAGTCATTCAGGTAAGTCATTCAATTAATTGCTTGAGATAATTGGATGTTACCACACGCAACACGTCTTGGACCTTCATTCGAAGCATTGCTTTTGAAGTTATCTTCATTTTGTTCAATTTTCCTTAAATGTGGCCTAAATTTGCTCAATTGGGTTTGTATCAGGTGATTGTGGGGGGTCATGGCATAACTGTAAGTCCTTGTTGTTGAAACCAATCCATTATCACCTTAACTTTATGGATTCGTGCATTATCTTGCTGCAGAATGTAATTAAACTGAAGATCATTCACGTTAAGACTGTCCTGAATTAGTTGAATGGATCCAGCAGAATTCAGGCGATTAGGAAATTCGTCAAGTTGACAAATGTCTCCACGGAAACAACCCCTACCCAAAATTATCTTGCCTCCTCCGCTATGAATCATTGGTCTAGTCATCTCTAGTTGAAACGCCTTTTTTTCATTACAACGGACATATCGACGTTGCTTTGTTTTAATTAAGTAGATAGATACTTCATCAGTGAACGACACATTGCGCCATTGGTCGACAGTACAGGTGCTATGTTCTCTAACCAAAGTTAGACTTTTTTTTTCTTATTGCAGGCTGAAATCTTTGTTTTTTTCTTGGTGATTCTACTACGTACTCCAAATAATATCATACGACTGTGTGCATTACTTGCAGAAATATTTGTATTAGTTTCCATATTAAATAACGGAGTAACTCGCTGTTGGTTGAACTTGCTGCAGCATATGTAAACCTCGATCCTGGCATGCAGTACTGCTATGAGTACGGCCAATTCTTGGGAGACTAGAAAGAATACCAGTTTCTTTAAATTTGGGGAAACTGTTCGAGTGCAACTTACATCTTACCAATTAAATCCGAAAGGAATGAGGGTGGTTCACCACAATGGGCGTGGCATGGTGGGTTTTAGCCGTAAATGTTAGACCTGATGTAATTAAGGAATGTCCAGGGTGTCCCCAAAAAGTCATCATTTCGCAGTGCAGCAATTTTGGCAATTCTTCTTGAAATAACCTCAAGTTTTCACGGAATGTTTAGAAACAGATCAAGATTTTATATTTAATGGAAGAGAAAAGTTCAGTCTGAATGAGAATTTTCCAGAGAGATATATCGGGCATGATGGAGATGAAGACAGTTTTCTAATGAAATGGCCGCCGCGGTTACCTGACCTGTCCCCGTGTGATTTCTTTTTATGGGGATATGAGAAGGGATTGATCTATGTCCCCCCTCTTCCTTCAAGCATTAATGAACTAAAGCAGCAAATCACTTCCAGACTGGATAATGTTACTGGACACATGCTACAGCGTGTTTGGCAAGAGCTTAACTACCGACTTGACGTGTGCCGTGTCACAGGCGGTGCACATATTGAACACTTATGAAATAGGTCCCATAATAAACTTATGATGTTCAACGCCTAAACTATTCATTTTCATTGAGTTAGACTCAGCAGTTTTCAAGAAAATTGCTTTTAAAATGATGTCAAATATTTTGGGACATCCTTTATTTTGTCTAAACACTTTCCATAGGAATAGCGATAAAGCAGTGATGGGTTTGCGACGTTTAAACTGTGAGAAAGGGGTAGTAGGGTATAAAATAATATGTCAGCCACAAGGACATGGAGACGATTTGGGACACTATCGAGACTAGAAAGTGAAGACTAGGCAACTCCTGCCCATTTATGGCAGCACTATTCCCATTGAGACCTGATCTGGCTTTTATAATGGTAGAGGTGTGAGAAGGAGGCTTTCTTTTCCTATCTTGTCGAACACTCTGCCACTGGGCGAAGAGGAAACTAGACGAGGCTATGCCGAAGGGCAGAGTCTTGTTTGGGATGGTAGACAACTACCCGACCCCGTGTATACGAGGTCTACGGGCAATTTTTGCCCGAGATTACGGGCTCTGAATGACCCACGTTAAAGCTGGCCTTGTGTCACATCTTTTCTTGTGGGAATATTGATAAATGAAGAGATGTTGCACAGGGAACCTGCCATTTTCCCAGCATCTTTAGCAATGGATATATGAGTTCTATTTGAGGTCAGGCATGAATTTAAGGGCCAATCGACACTCAAAGCACTGAAAGGGAACATCTATTCATCGTAACTGCAGGTATTTCGGCTCCGATCGACGATAATGGTGACATTCAAGGCAGAATAGTGCAATAGGTGACCGGTTCCTTCTTGCACCGGGGATGTTGAGGTTATCCTGTCTCTTTTCTAAGAAGTTAAAATGACAGGGAAACGACCATTTTTTTCAGGTGTCTATAGTGATAGATCATATGTACGAGTGCAATTTGAGGTCTGGGTTGAGTTTA